ATTTATTCATTTAAAATTCAAATTATTTTCTTAAATTAAGTCGAAAATATCTATTAATTTAAAATATGAAAACTAAGAAAATATTACTCGACATGGAAGTTGGAACGAATTCTCAAATTATTTATGTTATTTTCACATATAATTAATCAAGAATAAATTATAAACATATATAATAGTTCTAATAAAATAAATATATAATTTTTTTTTTTGCACAAGAATAAATATATAATTTAAAAAAAAAATCAAAATTCATACACTAATAAATTATTTCATATAAAAATTGATTTTTTTTATAAACATTCCCCACACCTATTAAATTTTTATTCTTGCTATTGTAATTGAATAAATGTGTTCAACTTTATTCCAGAAAATAATATAAAATTTAACCAAATAAATTATTTTTTGCATAAAATCGCCTTGTATTATAGAAAATAGCATTAAATCTCCCTATATATGTTAAAAAAAAGACACTTGCATAAAACCCCATCTATAGTTAACGGTGTTATCTTTTAACGGAAAAGGGGATTTCGTGCAAAGTAAAATAAAACATAGGGGGATGGCGCAAATTTTCCTTAACACAAAGGGTTTTATGTTGTTTACCCTTTTATGAAATAATCCCTATTTTTTATCTCCATGTTCACATGAATCATGAATTATATTGTGTAGTTATACACAATGTTTTCAGAACCGGACGATCATTTGGGTCATGGGTTTATAGGGTCGAACCGGTTCAACCAGGTTTTTGATTTTTTTTTTAATGGGGTTATTTTACATATACCCCCTAGCCGCCAAATAAACTAGGGATAAACCCAAGCCCAAATCATCCTTTTACATACCCCCTGGGGAAGCGAAAGTACTATACTACCCTTATGTGCAATTTTCGGCCAAACTGCATTCAGCATTTATGGTCCTGCATTTATCATTTTCGCACATTTATTTATTATTATTTTCCTTTATATATATATATATATATATCTATTTACTTTTTTTAATTTTTTAATTTTTTTTTAAATTAAAAAAATATTTCTTTTTATTTATTTTTTTAATTTTCAAAACAATATGTTTACAGTACTGAAAATAACTACATGAAACTATAGTACCTATAGTAATTCACAGTTATGTTCGTTTTTTCCCATATTTTTAGTAGATCAATTGTATACACACACGAATACTGACTTATACAAAATAAACTCATAAAACCCCAACAAAAATTTACAAATTTAAATATTTTTATTATAAATCACATCAGAACCAATAAAATACAAATCGAAAATACATAAATATACGCATATGTAACTACATGTTACTATAGTAATGTATAGTAATGTATACAGTCTGTTGAACAGATCTGATGTAACTTAAAAAAACAAAAATTTGACACCTTCAAGGAAATGATTAATGGCCTTCATTAAGCTGCAATTGCAAAATCAAAACAAAAAGAAATTACTTTAGTGCAAATCAACAAATTTGAAGAAAAACATCAAAACACTCAAAAATCACCAAACATTAAGAGATCGAGAGATAGAGAGAGAGATTATTGCTGGGAAATGCTACGGTTTTAAATCAAACAGACAGTGACTCCTCACCCCCCCCCCCCCCCCCCCTCGCCTCCTACCAAAACCCTAGACGCCGCTAATAACCACCAATGGTTCCGCGCGGCCACAAATGCAAAAAATATAGAAATAAATCTGAAAACATTAAAATAAACGAAATTACCATTAAAATATAGATCCCGACGAAAGGAATCCAACGGTAGGTGACCCGTCAAATTTCGACGGGTGGAACACAAAATAAAACTCTGGCAAGACCACCGTTCTCGAATGAAAAAAAAAATTGCAGAAACAGATCAGCGTTCGAAACTGAATGAAATCATCACCAAAAGAAAGAGCTCGACGAGAGTAATCCAACGGTACTTAAACCATCAAATTTCGACCACCGGAGAGAGAGTTATGGCTCCGGGAAGCAATTTCGCCGGTGGGAGGTTTGTGGAGGCGGGATTTTGAATTTGGGAGAGAATAAGAGAGAGACCGTGAGTGACTAGGGTTTAAAACTGATTTTAGAAGGGTATTATAGGAACTTCAGGGTAGCCCAGGGGGTATGTCAAAATATTTTCGAAATGAGGGGAGTTTCCCCTAGAGTGTAATTCACTTGGTAGTTAGTTATATATAATTTGGAAATGAGGGGGGTCTACAAAATAATCAAATATGTCATTATTTTATTTATTTTAATATTTTAAAAATATTTTTTTTAATTTTTAATCTTTCACTTATTATTTCTACTTTTATCTACTTCACCTCACTTTTTGCTATATTTTATTGCTTATACTCTATATTTTTCCATTTTTAATTCATCAAATCCGGCAATCGGCTACCCCTATTCGATCACCCATAATCATATCCGACAATCTTTCAACCACTCATGACTAGATCTGGCCACCCACTACCAAGTTTGTGAAGGGTCGCTCAAATCTAGCCACAAATAACCATCTCAGCGGTGATTCGAGACGTTTTGGCTGAAAATCGGGTTCCTTGACCGACTCGTCAGTTCTCGGGTTTTACCCGATTGAACCGGATTTCGGTCATTTAACCCCGGTTTTTGATTTTTCAACTTTTAGATGTCAGACCGGATCGCTTTATTGCCGGGTCACGGTCAAACCGATCCGACCGGCCGGTTCGATCCGGTTCTAACAACATTGGTTTTACATAACCAGCATAAAATATCTACTCTAATTGGTATGGAAAAATGTGCCTAATATAAAATATGTATAATATTCAAATAAATTATGTTGTTTATCATATACAACACATGGTGTACATAATTATTGTCGAAACCACCTCAACTTGCACAAAAACTATATATCATACTTTACTTGAGAAAATGAGTAATTAACCCTTATGACTTGTGAGTGGGCAGCTACTCTTTTGGTGCATGTTTTAAAAAACAATTATTTATTGATTTTTTATTTTTCAAAGCATTCGCCATTTTGATAACAAATGTAAATTTTTATAGGTTAAACAAAAGCATTCAGACACTGACAGGGCCAGTCCGGCGTATTGGGGGGCCCGGGGCGAGAATATATTTTGTGCCCTTAATGCCCCAACTATTTTTTTTTTCTTTTTTTTATGAAATAATATAGATAAATATTTATTAATTTAATTTCATTATCAATAAAATATTGGAAACATTATTGTATATCTAAATATTTTTGTTTTATAAAACAAATGTTAGAAATGTATGAAATAATTTTGTGTGATTAAAATAAAGATTTTTAAATTGTATATATTTTAAACTAAGCTTTAAAATTATAAATAAAATATTTTTTTAAACAATAGAAGAATAAACTTTTTTTATACAATAGAAAAATATTTTTTTTCACACATAAAAATGTTAGTATATATATATATATATATATATATATATATATAAAAAAAAACTAAAAATGGGCCCCTTACAAAACTGGGCCCTGGGCGTGGGCCCTGCTCGCCCCACCCCAGGGCCGGGCCTGGACACTGATCTTAACCATTCAGTTATGTATTCAGCATTCAACATTCAGCACTTAATTCTATCAAACGGAGCCAAAATTAAGGCCGCCCTATGAAGTAACGTCAAATTATGAAGAAGAAAAAAATTATGTTTGAATAATTACAATTATCTTATCAACAATGAATATTCTTACACGTTTATTTTTGTGCCAAAACGTTAATTCTTGTGCCAAATTTAGTGGAATCTTTTAGATTATGTAGAATATTTTTCAGTTCATACCCATTCGAGCTCCAAATTTTGAAATAAGATGACCTAAGATGCGTCTCTTGGCTTGTAAATATCAGATTGTGGTGCATGCATCAGAAACTGCATTTTCTCACAAAACAAGTACAAACACAAGAACGACATTCCATGGAATTTAGAAAATTATGTAGAATTTGAAAGAATTTATGGTCCCGAATTCGTTTGATACAGAGATGTTGTCTTAAGTGTTATGACACTTAAATAAACATGCAGCGGAAAAATAACTATATAAAGACAATACTCAGATATCAAAATGTTCACAAGTAAGAACTTGTGAACTTGCCCTTTACAGGACGGAAAAACTATATTAAATAAACAGTATTCCAAGAATACAAATGAAAGATGTACGAAAACTTCTTCCTTATGACTGAATCATTCTCATGATCATTCTTACATTCAAATCTAGAAACAAAAAGAGAAATATTAATAATTCTAGATTTCAAATAATGTACTCGTAAGGAGTACGTAAAGAACTACAACAAGTCTAGAAACATATATACTAAACAATCTAGACTACAAAGAATGTACTTATGAAAAGTACGTAAAGAATGTACTCATGAGGAGTACGTAAAGATTATACTCATGAAGAGTACAACCAACCGATCCTAAACACACACTAAAACACTCATGTATTCTTTTCAGCTCTCGGTGTTTTTTTTTTTTTGCAATCGATCAACTTTCTTGAGTCTTGAGTTTGGTAGTTATAGATTTTCCAAGCTTCCACTACTCAGCCCATGATCTGCAAGAAAACCAACCACAAGAGCACTCAAGATAATGGGTTAGTGGGTTAGTTTAATGAATTAGAATAATATCCATAATTAAAACCACTAAGCACTACTTAGCCCACTAAGCCATATACTTGACCCACTAAGCACTACTTATTTCATAACTAAAATTTAGTTAGAAAATAAGAAAGTTAAAAACACAATGTGGAAATAATCCACGTGTTTCAGAATTTATCACAAATAATGGAGAACGTGTAAGAAGATTCAGAATTGAGGGGAACAGTTGTAATTATCAAAACATGGGAGAATTACATAATATTGCACAAACTCAAATCAAACTCATTCATCGTATTTCATTCTAACATTTCCAACCCAAACAACCAAACAGTGGACAAACATAGATATGTGACCATAAACAAATTAAAAACTGAACTTCAAATGTTATATTACAATACTTTCCAAGACATCCATCACACTCATATAGCTAGCTTAGGAAGAACCAAACTTAGAACATGTTGTATTATGCAGCAAGAGTGAAGAGCTAAACCCGAGCTTCGAAGAAGCCACGTCGAACTCAAGCAAATGATTCTCCATTTGATACCCTCCCACTTCTATCGACGTCGTCGGTCCAGACACATTTATTCCTCCCTCCACAAACGCAAGGCAAGTCACGTCTTTACTAACTCTAACCATTGAGTTTGATCCATAAAACCTCCAAAAAACTCCCTTCTTCTTATTCATAACAAGATCGATAGTCGGCACTTGTGGGCCCGTCTTCGAGCTCGTAACTGTCTTCAAAACAAAGCACGCCCCTAACGGAGCCACGGATTTCACTCTCTTAATATTCTTGGATGCAGCAGCCCTCACAAACGCTTTGATCAAAGCCTTGTATATCGATTTGTGCAGAGTTGTGTAAGGCCTCACTGTCCTAATACTCGTGCCTCCACTTCCGTCTTTCTTATTAATCGAGAGCAGCGTCTTGTTCAACGATAGTACTGTCTTCGAACCAACTTTAATGGACTTGACATTGATGAAGTACTCGTGTGTCAAATTGCCTATCACCTCATTCCCGGAAATGCTCACGGGATTTTTCACGAGCGGCGTCGTGAAAAGCGACGACTTCGAGATTTCTTCAAAAGGAATGCTATAAGCCGTCTCTCCCACGATCAAGTTACCGTCACCACCAGCTGGCGGAACGCAGAGTGCGAACTTCTCGCGAATCTTGAAAGCAGAAGCGAGCTGCGCCTGCAGTGAGATCCCGGTCCTGCCGATCCCAACCGCACCCGCGGCGAGGCCCACGAGGCCCGTCCTCAAAACGGGATCCGAATACTGGAATGGGAAATCATCCACCGTGTACTGCACGTGGGCCCCACGTGCGGACCGCACGTGCAGGGCGTCCTCTCCTAGGCCGCTGAAACCCAAAGTGCCGGTGAAGGGATTGAGCGCGAAGTCGGAGCACGTGTTGTTTGTGCATCCAGGCACGGGAAGATCCGAAATGCATAAGATGCAGCCGTCGGTGTCGGCGATTTGGCATTTGCGGGACCCGCATAGGATCGGGCGGTACGAGGATGCAGCGTTAAAGTAGTCGACAGAGTTGAACCAGAGGAAGTTGCCTCCGAGATCAATCACTACATTCAGTTTGGTGCTGTTTGAACCAAACTGAATGTTAGTGTAGTATTGATTGGTTTTGCCATCTTTCTTGATGGGGAAAATGAAGGCTTGGAGTTGTTTTGAAGGGGTTGTTTGGGCATTTAAATAAAAGGAGAAGAAACATAAGGAGAAGAAAAAGAATATTGATATAGTAGAGTGTGCCATTTATATTGTGAGGAGCTATACATCAATCTTGTGGATACATGTGTGTTTCATAAAATATAAAATATTGGTACCATGTGTGCCATGACCACGTTTTAATAACATTCAAATGAGCGGGTCCTTAGCCAATGAAAAAAAACGCGGGTCCAAACGATTCCCCCGATTATAGTTCTATACTGATTCCACCACTGTGTCGAGTTCACTAGAAGTGTGTTATGTCCGAATTAGTGAAACGGAAATACGATTGCTTGTGTTCATGGTGCGTCGGTGCACTTAACGGGTTGTTGGATCTTTTCAGAGTATATCAAGAATACGGCACAATCTCAATCAGCTCGTTACTTCATTCAATGATGCCAATAACCAACACCGCGGAACATGATCCAACTATTACAATGCAAACGTAAAAACCGAACTTAAAATTTTACAGCACTTCCCAAGAAATCAATCCAACAACTTAGGAAGCTCCGAACTTGGAACAACTTGTATCGTGCAGCAAAAGTGAAGAGCTAAACCCGAGCTTGGAAGAAGCCACATCAAACTCGAGCAGATAGTTCTCCATTTGATATCCTCCCACTTCTATCGACGTTGTTGGCCCTACCAAATTTGTTGCCCCTTCCACAAACGCAAGGCAAATTACCTCATCACTAACTCTAACCATCGAGTTTGCGCCATAAAACCTCCAGTAAACACTCTTCTTATGCAGAACAAAATCAATAGTCGGCACTTGCGGGCCCGTCTTCGAGCTTGTAACTGTCTTCGAACCGAAGCAAGCCCCGAAAGGAGCCACAGAAGCCACCCTCTTAATATTCTGTGAAGCAGCAGCCTTCACAAATTCATCGATCAAAGCCATGTAAATCGATCTGTGCAGACCGGTATAAGCCCTCACGGTCCGAATGCTCGTTCCTCCACTTCCGTCTTTCTTGTTAATCGAAAGCAGTGTTTTGTTCAACGAGAGTGTCTTCGAACCAACTCTAACAGACTTGACATCGATGAAGTACTCATGAGTCAGATTGCCTATCACTTCATTCCCAAAAGTGCTCACACGATTTCTTATGAGGGGTGTGGTGAAAAGAGACGACTTTGAGATTCCTTCAAGGGGATTGCTATAAGTCGTCTCTCCAACTATCAAATTACCGTCGCCGCCAGCTGGCGGAAGGCAGAGCGCGAATCTCTGGCGGACCCCGAAAGCCGATGCGATCTGCGCCGGCAGCGAGATCCGGGTCCGGCCCAGGCCGATCAGGCCTGCGGCAGGACCCGCAAGGCCTTCCCGTAAGACGGGGTCCGAAAATTGGAACGGGAAATTATCCACGGTGGTGTAGTAGCGGTGGGCCCCACGTGCGTAGCGCACGAGAAGGGAGTCCTGACCCAAGGGGCTGCACCCACGAGTGCCGGAGAAAGGGTTGAGGGCGTAGTCCGTGCACGTGTTGTTGGTGCACGGCGTGTCGGGAGGCGAAAAAACGCAGAACATGCAGCCACCTCCGCTGGATATGCTGCATTGTGGGGTCCCACAAAGAACGGGGCGATACGAGGCGGTAGAGTAGTTGATGGAGTTGAAGTAGAGTAATTTGCCACCCAAATCAATCACAACACTGAATTTTGTGCTGTTGGAACCAATTTGAATATTGGTGTAGTACTGATTGGTTGAATCATCTTTCTTGATTGGGAAAGTGAAGGCTTCGGGTTTTCGAGAGCTCTTAGCATTTGAAGAAGAGGAGAAGATAAATAAGGAGAAAATGACTATTGAAACAATAGAAGTTGCCATTGTGAGAAGGAACAATGGAGCTACATCACTCTTCTGGATATGTACATATTTATTATTTAGAAAAAGAAGAAAAATAATAATTAAAATCAAATTTGAATGCAATTTGGTAGATCTGCAAGAAGAGATTCAGAAATGAAGATTTGCTTCTAATCAGACAACATGGGATGCCAGCAAACCATTATCTTTCACATTCATTTGAAGTGATAAATATAATAATATCATAAAGTCAAAATATTAATATCATATGCAAACTAATAGTCATAAGTCATAACTACATGAACAATATTCAAATGAATTCCATCTCTTGACTTTGACAAATGCATGATTGTCAAAAGTGTGTGACACCTAAAAGAGAAGCATTGACAAGTAACTTGTTTTTTTTTTCATAATTCCCTATTATCTTCACAATCATGGAAAATCAAAAAAATTGTGGATTTTGCTGATGTGGCGTTCCCTACCTATCAAAAAGTCAACCCATTTTTCTAAAATATTTTGTAAAGAGTTGATTATCTAGGCGGTGTTTGCAAAAGGTAATTTAAAAGGCATAAGTTGGTCATTGTGAGTTAAGTTGATATTAAGTGCTTAGTTCTAAAAGTTGCGGGTGTTTGCAAAAAAATTTGGAAAATCAATTTGAATATAAGCAGCTACATGGATGTTTTTCAAATTATAGCTTACAGCAGCTTATTTTAGAGAAGCAAAAGTAAAAATCGGTTTAACAAATATCTAAAAACAAATTATAAGAGAAGAGAAAAAAAGCTTATAATTTTTAAAAGCTTTTGCAAACACCAACTAAAAGTAGAAAAAAATGAAAGTGGATGGCTAACCAGTTCGAATAGCATGCAGCAATAAAGGCGATTTATCTGCAACCCATTGTATGTGTTCGTCGCTCAACAAACTATCTCCAATATCATCTAAGTATCTCAGCAAAGTAAAATGGGACTCCACGCTTACTACAACGCACGTGAGCTCACGCAATAATTTAGACGCTCGATGGAGGAAACCTGAAGGAAAAAAATATCTATAAATTAAACACGAAAACATTTTGAGCAGGAACCATTTATCGATAAAAATAATAAATGAGTTAATTCTTTACCTTCTTGGCACAGGCAAATAACAAATGGATTCAGTAAAGTCTTCGCTAGTGTTAAATCCTGTTCAACCGACTTATGGAAGACTTCAAGGGCAGTTTCGGGTTTTCTCGCCTGGCAAAGGCCTTGAAGAAGAGATTTGTATATCGACTCGTCCGGTTTCAACCCTTTATCAAACATGTGGTGGAAGAGGCGGCAAGCATCTTCGACCAATCCTACTTCACAGAATTTCCGAATAATAATACCGTAACTCACCAAATTTCCACAGCAGCCACTAGCAAACATCTCATCCCATAACCGTTTAGCGGGCCGCACTAGATCCTCGTTGCAGAGAGCTTCTAGAAGAAAATTGTAAGACGAAACATCCGGGCCCACGCCTTTCTTCTTCATCTCGTGAAGCACCTGATAAGCTTCTTTGACCTTTTTACCCTTGCAGAGAGAGGAAACCATCACATTGTAGCTCTCTAAGTCCATGAAGTAATCTTTTGCAGACAGAAGCTGGAAAACTTCGACCAACTCGTCTCCCTTTTCGTGCTTGCATAGATTTTCGCTCAAGTTGGTTAATGTAAGTAGAGTTGGCAATTTTTCCTTTTTGAGCATGGATTTCATAAACGAGACTGCATGCAGAGGGTCTGTAGCGGATACGGATCCTATAAGCACGTTCAGAACATCGTCGTCGATCGAGAAATTCCCACTCACAATCACTTCACCGAGTTCTTTGGCTTCAGAGATAAGTTTTTCGGATACGAACTGAAGAATAAGTTCTCTGTAGTCGCTAGCCCTTGGAGCCACCCCTAACTTACGTTTCTTCTTTAAAATCATGTCCATGTCAACCACACTCCTCATCTCACGCAATGACTCGGCAACTATTCTGTACGCCATGAAATCAGGCTTGCAGTCTCGTTTTCTTAATTCTTCGAGGGCAATTATTGCATCCTTCACACGGGATTCCGTACACAAACCATGAACAACCAGAAGGGCGACTATTGAGCCGTCGATTCCCGAAAAATCGACCTTCCTCACATCATCCAGCAAACTGAAAATCTCATTTAATCCCTTCTGCCGAAAAGCCCGCCATACGAAAACCCCAAAACCAAGAGTGCTCAAGCGAACACCTCTGTCAATCATTTCATCAAACACCTTGTGAGCACTCTTGATACTCCCATCAGAAGACAACACCGCGAGAAGCGAATTACAAACCTCTGGCCCAATCTCCGGAACGATCGGACCAGCATCGCAGAAGACCGAGAACGCCGAATGGGTTTTCCTCCCGGAGACAAGGGAACCAATGACTGTACGATAAATGGAGGGATGTAGAAAAAACTTTTGTAATCGGACCTGCTTCAAGAGCTTATCAATGGAGTTGAATTGGCGGGAAACGGAGAGGGATTTGAGGACGGATTGATAAGTGGCGGGGGTGTGGGAGAAGCCCGGTTGCTGGGAAGCCCAGTTGAAGAAGCCGAAGGCGAGGGAGTGGTGGTGGAGGAGGAACGGGTCGATGACTCGGGCGACGAGGGTCGGAGTGAGCGAGTCGCGGCAACCGAGTTGGTGGAGGGTTTGTTCTAGCGACGGAGTCCATGCCCGAGTTGGAATCGCTTGGTCGGATGCTGTCAGCAGAGCACGGCTCACGAAGCTAGCTAACTCAGCCGAAGAGCGTCTCATTTATGAATGCGCGTGAGTGCGTGTGCGTGTGTGAGAGAGAGAGAGAGAGAAGAGAGAGGGGGGGGGGGGATTCCCCCCAAGAGTTCAAATAGCTAGTAAATATGGTCCAGAAATAGTACAACTTATGAACAAAAGTTTGGATTAAGTTAAAAGAAAATTTGATAAATTTGAGATTAAGTTGAATAAATTATTATTTAATACTCCATTTATGCCATTTTGTGTATTTAAAAGAAGAATTTGATAAATGAAGGACGAGATTTATTTATTTTGAGGGCAACAATAGACGATTTTTAGTAACACCGAATATTTTAAATAAAATACATATATAATTTAGAACCCACATATAAAGATTACATACAGGCTACAGCTGAATTATAGTCGCCATGTGTCTTGTTAATTTGCACTTTGCTTAAGCGCGAGAAAATCTGCAATCGCGTCTAAGCAAAGTGCATCTTCGGTCTAAAATTTGTTAAAAATAAATTTGAGTATGGTTCAAGTTCGAGGAGTGATTTGCGTCTAAAATTTTAAATTTGTTAAAAATAAATTGGAAGATTTTAGATGTCATAGTTATAAGATTCTTTAATTTATTTAAATTCTTCTTTTTTTTTTTTTTTTTTTGTAAATGACAGTATCTGAAAGGAGATAAAAGGTTTGAAAGAATTAAAAATTAAAATTAAATAAATGTCCGGCATTTTCTAAAAATCGTCCAGCATTTATCATTTCAATTAAAACAAATATCTCGTATTCTGGACTTGTTATGTAGTCACTGTATAACTAATTAATTTTACCAATTTTACATTTGTTCATTAATTATAGAGAGGAGAAACATAAGAGAACAAAAGAAAATGAATATGATATCAATTGATGCACAAACAATCTCTTTAGAACGGTAATACATTGAGAAAATTGATGATCTTCCAATGGTGTAATATCAGAAATCAACAAGTATGACAAAATGGAATGACAATTTTTGCTTGCCAACAGAGTCTAGAGGATCTAGACTCGAAACATATACTTCGATCGTTTTACATTTTTTGCTTCACGAATTCATTCATCAATTGTTTTTTTGCCAGCATCAAAATTTGCTATACTACTATTCCTTTTTTTTTACTTTGCTTTTGCTATTCGCCCCGTTCTCGATCCCTTGTCAGTATTGCTTTCAAAATATTACACCAATTCGAAATGTGGCCTTCCTCCATATGCGCAAAAGTTCATCATTTTGCATGATTTTGATGGCGAAGAAAAAACAAAAGGGTCGCTTTTTGTAAGAATCGAACATCATATGTTTGAACGCTTCAAGTAGACCATAGCTGTAATGCTTGTCAGAGCAACTGCTCCTGCAAATATTCCGTAGCGGAGAGAGCTTGACGATCGAGGTTTCTCTGCAGTTACGGTATCGGATAAAAGCTCCCTTGTCTGTTCGCTTGAATTGTGGCTCTCCAAATGCAACCTCAAAACCTGGTAAAATAAGACACGACATCAAGAAAAAGCCAAGCAACACCATTCGAGACAATTGTAAGCTCCGGAGTAAAGTAAACCGTTATTTTAGAGCAAAATGGCAAGACTAGTAGTCGGGTTGTCGATTCTAGCAGCATTTCACACCAGGACATGCGAGATATGGTCAGGTGTGGAAATAGGAGCAGAAGTGAAAATCTAATTCCAGTTTTGTTCCCAAATTCTTTTGGAAAAATTGAACTTTTGGAAATTCGGAAATTGGAATGGAAAAAATTGATACAAAATCGGAAATTTTCGGATTAGAATCTGCGTAATTCGGAATTTCCATTATAAATGATACTGGATGATTCGGAATCTTCAATAACCTATCATATAAAATATATAATAATATTGGTGTTATTTTTGAAAAACAAATATCGAAATTTTTGGAAATATTTTGGAAAATTAAAATCGGAAACGAATATGGTATCCAATCCTGTTACAAAAAAATTCGAAACATTGGGAATTTGAACTTTCGGAATTCGGAATGGAAAATATTGTTCCAAATTTGAAAAATTTCGGATCGGAATCGGAGAAATTGGGAAATTACGTTCCAATTTATACCCCTAGATATGACAGACTAAGAAATATGCAATGAAAGCTTCTCCGATTGAAAGATGATATTGAGAGATAAGCATTTTGAGGAAGTGTACTTATATTATAGGAAAAAAGGTAATAGCTGATAATTTAGAAATTCACTATAACAATAAGGAAATAACATTAGCCAAAGTTACGATAAAGGCATTCACCACATATCTAGCTTAATCATCTCTGCATCAGTGCAACTAGTAGTGGAGGTGGTTGTGGAATGCCGACTCAACATACAACAGAAGTTATAACTATTTACTGTCTGTTTGGTGCTATTCGGGCGTTTGAGGAGAAATAATGAAACAATTAGTTTTGTGAGTGAAATCAGGAAATTTTAGGGGGAATGGAATGAAGATGAGTTTGCGCAAGTTATTTGGAAATGACAACGCGATTTATTTCCACAAAAGATTCATTTGAATGAACGATTTTGACATACAACAGCGAAAGGACATTTTATGGCTCCGGGAAGGTATGATTATTATTATTTTTTCAAGTAAATGAATCTGCATGTTCATTTCTATCATTCTGACCTTTAATCCCACCGATCTTGCATGGTTTACAGCACTAACAAGATCTTCATCTGTTGTGAGCAGAACTTTGTCACCTTCGTCATCTTCATACTGAGATAGTACCGAAAGAACATTATCAACCTTATAACTAAGAAAAACACAAAGGAAATCGCTATATATGTATGTCTATATACCCACCAAAAGTTGCGGGCAATTTTGATCATTGGATGCACCAACCCGTTGTGTAACAGCAGAAACAAGTTCAGATAAATTTTCTGAGCCTGATTTGGAAGACGAAAATAAGAAGCATAAAGCATTATTAGAACAAACAGAAGATTTTCTCGTCATTAAACTTAATAAAAATTAATTTTAATTAATTTTAATTTTCAAGTTCCATTTCATATTTCACATTTGGGCGTCATGCTTACTTATTAAAGGACATAATCAGGGCTCTGTAAAACTAAATGGTTTTACGGCACATATTCAATGGCAGACAAATAAAAGATAGAAAGCCTTCAAATCTTTACACACTCACCATAGTTAAATCGGTGCACGCGTCCATTATTGTCCTTGAATTTGAAAGAAAACGTATTCCCGAGACCAAGAGATGGATATGCAGACTTTGCATGTTCCGTCCCTTCTGATGCCACATATTGGGACATAGATATCTCACTGAATAGAGGATCAAGCAAGATTAGTCGAGACACACATCTATCAATTATCGACAGAATAATTTAAAAGAAAAGCCAAAGCAAGAACCTGCGAGTGTCAAAATCGTCAGGGGCCTCCAAATTAAGTGCCGAATCCCAGAAATTTTGCATCACTGTAGTTGCCATATCGTTAGCAGTGCCAGGGCCACTTTCGACCTAGAGAGAAAGATTAAATGAACTTACTTTTCCTTCCATTGAAAAATAATACGCTGCCATATTCAGTAATTCTACATAGTTTCCATCAGCAAATAATCAACGATTGACAATGCAAGTTGCAGATCTGAAGAACCTCTGACCAGACAAAAATGTCTTATTTTCTGAAAATGAGGTGTAGAATAGTCCTTCGGAGAAGGGGAAGGAAGAAAAGAGTTGTTTTCTAATTTTTCTTCCTTTTTTTTTTTTTTTGAAAATAACTAAATGAAATGAGAAAAATGAAGAAAGTTTCAAATGAGATGGCATGATCTCAGAAGCATAAATTAGCTGTATATGTTATACATAGACTGGTGAAACAAAAGCATAAATTCCATTTCATAGAGATGTTCATCGCCACATTTTAAAAACAAGGGCAGCATCGAGTATCCCTCGACTCTTAAAAGGACACTTCTGACAAGATTGTTATTCAGTTCCACTTCTCAAAGACTCCTCTTATTTTATCAGAACTCAATTCCTCATGTTACAGGTAAGAAAACGAGACGAGTATTTAGTATAGCAAACAAATTCTTAGGCAAAGTTTTCATCAATTACTAGCCAATTTCCACACAGTACATCATATTGCATCATCAATAAAGCAGAAAGTATTAAGAAAAAAAACGAACATAGTGTGCACATGCAGCTGACTTGATCTATCTTAACCAAGTAAAAGAGATTTTACCATAGAAAATGCTGCATGAGTTATCTGCAAGACATCTACACAGGCAGCTACACATCCCTCTGCCAAGAAACCAGTATTTCAATTTTTGAGAATTACAAAAAAAAAAAAAAAAAAAAAAAAAAAAAAAAAAAAAAAAAAAAGAAGAAGATTTATAGAACTAGTATTCACCTTTGTCGACAACTGGAAGATGCAAAAATTTCCCATCATGCATTAGATGCAATGCTTCGAGAATAGTTGTATCTATCGTTGCACATTCAGGGTTAGGCGTCATTACCTTGATAAAAAAAAGACATTGTATGGAAGCATGATAAGTGAACAGAAACATCTTGAACCAAACAGTGATTATCAGATGAAACTTATGGAAACACATTTCAGTAGATTTGCGATTTTCAAATCAAAAAAGAACTGCAGTAATTTTGATCCCAAAGTCAATGACAGCTTCTAATAATCGTGTATCCGACAGTTATTTAAGTCAATTGACTTGACTTGTACTAAGGTGCAAAAGTAGCCCTACGATAAGTGTTTATATACATCATGAGGGTTCAAGAGTATATTAAGTTACTCAAGTAATTGATGCAATAAGAGGAGAATAGAGCATAATCTGAAAAATGGAACAATTAAAAACGAAGCTGTGGAACCTTTTCCACAAGAGTCAGCTCAGGAGAGAAGTTTTGCGCCACAACTCGCATAAGTATATCTTTTGAACTGAAATATAAGTCCAAAAAAATAATCATGAGTTAAGTCAATTTCGAACACATATTAAAAGAAGCTTAGTTTTGTATCAAAAGACTGTACGTGAGTATCCCCTGGATGTCGTTTCCTGTCATAATAAGAACAGAATTGACTCGTAATTCACGCATTCTTTTAGCAGCAACATGAACAGGATCTGAGGGTGATACAATTGCGACCCTGAAGGCGTGAAATTATTACAAACTTAGTGACACAAACAAGGCCAAGAAAGACATCTGCTCGTAGAAAGAAAAACACTAATCAAGTTTGACGTACCTAGAACTTTCAGAAATGATTGTGGATAGAGAAGGTTTGAATATGCGTTCCCTAAGTGTTTCTATAAATGCTGATGGGGCTGAAATACAGAATAAAATCAAAAAATACAAAGAAATCGTTATCAAGATTAGAAAGATAACTAAATTAATAAACAAGTCAACAAAAAAAAATTACTAAACAATTATCAGTAAAGGAAAGTTTGCATATTCACCCTAACAAAATTTTATACTCAAGTTGATAGCATGCCTATGCCAGGAATTAAAAGTATCGGTCCGACATAACTTTACAATTGCCTAGGGGATTCATTTATACACATTGAAAGCCAATGTTCCTTATTGACGGTAAAAAATCAATACCTTCGTATGAACATAGGATTTGAGAGAAAGTGTCATATGTAAGTGAAAATTAATTTTCGAACACTCAGAAAATACTTTATTTTTGACACACATATAACTGATCTTCCTAACAAAATAACCAATATTTACAGCAAATAACCATTAAAATGGGAACGAAGTCACTAACCAGAGAAATTGCTTCCAAATTGACGTTCAACACCTTCAACCGCCGCTGCAATAGCACTTCCCTGCTCTGCAGCCTTCTCCATTCTCGATATGGCATCATAAAGGCATTTAGTGATATCTAGCAGTGCTATAACTTCACCATTCTCAACAACAGGAAGGTGACGAAATTTCCCTATTAAAATAGATAAATTGAGCACTGATATTTAAACAAATATGAAGGGTGATATAGTAATTATCTAATATATTCTGTTTTATATGAAGCAGAACCTCATGAGAGGTGTTCGTAACTTTGAAAGAGGAAAGTTTCCACTCGGTACTAAGACAGCGTACGTCAGTGTAATTAAAACCAGCTAAAGTTGGCCAATCTTCAAAGTTTTACACCTTGAAATCAATTCTCAAATGTGCTACGTGCACAAACTGAAACTATAAGTTTAGTTCACTACCAAATCATACAAATTTTCATGCAAATGATGTCTGCATTAAAGGAATAGAAAAAACAACCTTGGACCATCTTCTGCAGAGCGTCAATAGCCAAAGAATCTGCGTTCACAAAAATTGGATTTCGTGTCATCACTTTTGAAACCATTGTCTGCTCTGGCCTCAACTCCTCTGCTATAACCCTCGTTGCTATGTCCTGTAGACAAAAAAAATCAGTAGCTTCAAGCATAAAAAACTTCAAAAATAAAATTCTGCACATAGACCTCGCTAACTTAAAGGGAAGCAAGTCGATTTCATGACAGTGAAAGTAAATCTGATAAGATTTTGAGGCAAAACTACCTTCAAATTTTTGTTTCCTTCTTGTTTCCACTTAAGAAAACACACGAAAATCAAAAGGCAAAAAAAAAAAAAAGAAAGCCAACAAAATAATACTACATACACGACACTCGTCAATACGTACCTTGTCAGTGACAATTCCCGAAAGCAAGGCATTGGCATCAGTTAGCAGAACGGCATCCACACGTCTGGATGCCATCCTCCTACACGCATCCGACACAGTGGTGCCCTCAGGAATCGTAAGTGCCTTAGATAAACGGAGTTTCTTCACAGTCCTCCCTCCAGCGAGATTTCTACATGTAGATATGTGTTAATTACAAATATAATCCCTGAGGTTTGGCCGAATTACAAGAATGCTATTGAAATTATTTATAACATGTCATAAAACTCAGGGGTGTGGTTGTTGTCTGATTTTATATTCGCTATATAGGCTAGGTATAATGTATCAGTATAATTACCATTTTATTAATTAATGTTTATACTTTTCTTAATTTAAGATATAACATAGCAGATATACATCTAAATTCGAATATAACATATATTTTCTTTAAAGTAGATATATATCGATTATTTTTTACCATTGTTAAAATATAAAGTCAAATAGTAAATTTTATATATAATTAGATAACAAAACTATAATATATTAAAAGTGAGAATTTTCAGGAAAAAGAATAGATAAAATATAACAAATTAATAAAAATCGAAAAAAAAAAATACCTTAGTAACAAATACCATCCCTTAGGTTGGACCTAATTACACAAAATCCCACTTAACTACAAAGATTTCAAAAAACATAAGTATTAAAATCCATTAGGTTGTATAAAGTACCACATCGGAATTTTGCATTTTTACCACCTAGAAATCTAAATGGTCGTTTTTTAAACTTTATAGTGAAGATATTTTATTGGTAAATAGGCCAACCCTCAGGGATGGTATTTGTAATCAACCCTGAGGATATACAAAATTAAATAATTGATCTCAAACCATAAAATATCATCAATTTTACAACCAATTATGTTTGAGTTCGTCGGAGCATAGAGGTAAAGTAGGCAACAACTGAATAATTGTACCGTAATCTTTGTACTTTGATATACTAGATGACTAAATAGGCAAATGAAATATAATTAAGAGATAGAGGCAACACATATAAAAGCAGATATGCATGAACACATCAAGTAATCTTTGGACAACATAGATATTGCGATCAACATAGATGATGTCAAATAAATCACATAAAAGCTCAATCAAATGTTCGTGAAGTCCATAATGCCATATACTAGAGACATGCAGAGACAACGTTATCAAAACACCTCGAACACTCACACGAAGACTTACGAGCATGAAAGCATTGAATACTATTTAAAGAAAAATATTCCTATACCCCCAACAATTTCATGCAATTTGCACCAATATAAAATAGCGTGCGTGATCCACATTCAGTACAGAGTAATTTGGTCATCTCCACGATGAATCTACAAATACCGATCAACTACTCTCGAGAGTGGGGGCTTATGATGGGCCTAGCTTAAAGGGCTCATTAGCTGAATTTATCCTCAAAAATGCCTAACTAGATGGATTAACTTCAAAAGCGCTACCTTTCTTTAGCTGATGTCTAGATTTTTTTCCAATTATCTATTTGCCTCAGTCTGAAATGAGAGTTCGATGATCTTAGCCGAGTCAAATTCTCGGCACCCCTAACAACAACGTTGTGTGCTGCATGCAGCAAACACCCAAAGAGTTGACGTCAGACGAAACACATATACGGGCCTAGACCAATTCATTCCTACTAATACATATCAACCATTAAAACCGTATCGTTTCCAAAGATTTCAACTTTAACCTTCAAGCAGCAACTTTTACTTCCCAAACTAGAAACTAAATATATATAAATACATTTACCACACACATGAAAAGCAACACACACATGCACGAATAGAGACATAGAAATTTCTTGGGGCTAGGGGGTGGGGGGGGAGCTTACGAGTTAGAAGGCGAGGATGGCTTGGCGTTGGAGCCATTAGCAGCGGAGCCGTTCTCAGAAAGCGGCGCCGGTGACTTCTTCACGGCGGAGGGATTGCGCTTTTGGGCCATACTGTTGCGCCTCGGAGCCGGCGGGACTACAGAACCATTCATTTTTTTTTTCCTTTTAATTTATTGCAATTCGCATAAAATTAATGCGTAATTTTATGCTGGAGGGAACCTGGATTTCACCATTTTCGAGAATTGGAGAAATTTTTTGATTGAATCAATCAATAGAGAGAGGGGTTAGGGCTCGAATATTTGGGGATGCCCCTAACCCTCTAATCTCCTCTTCTTGATTTTTTGTTCAAAATAATGAAAATGAGAATTGAACCCACAGAAGCAATTTCCGATAATTCGATAGAGTATTTGTTTTATTATAATAAATAATAAATAATAAAATAATAAAATAATAAATAATAAAATAATACTCCATAAATGTTTGATGAATTCAATAGAATAAAAAACTAGTATTTCTATAGTCACTACGTTAGAAAATTAGTTTGTTACCAGCTGGGGAATTGAAATAACATGTTTTGTAATAAATCTGACTTTTATGAGTGGGAACATGCTACAGGTACGTACATCTACATTATTAATTTTAATTTATGTGAATAGATTCAACTCGAAAATTTTATATTCCAATAAATTAATTATAATTATTGTAGTAAAATACCATAATTAAATCATATTGAATCCTCAAAATCTCTACTAAATTAAATTTCTTCAAACTTCTCTCTTCTAAATTTTAACTTCAAAATAAAATTAATTTTAACTTAATAATACCGTTACGAATTCAAACTTGATTTTGATCATTTTTAATTCCAAATTTTGCAAAACTCGAAAAATAGAATTTGTAGTATTCTGAGTTAGTTTTCTAATCCAACTTGAATCACCAAAATTGGATGTCGGACAGGAAAGATATACATGAATCAATGGATATTGCCTACAACTTTGATGTACTGAGGTATCTAAAATTCAAAATGTAACTCATTCATGCATAACTTTGTCACACGGCATCCAATCTAGCGGATTTAAGTTGTATTAGAAAGCTAACCCAAAGGACTACAGTTATCGTGTTTCGAATTTTGCCAAAATCAAAATAGAAATATGTCAAAATCAGGTTCGAAGTCAAGTAAAATTGAAACGACATTTAACATTTCAGAAAAGAAAAATATACTATTTATTGTACAAATTCAAACTATAAAAAAAAACATTGTTGCCGCGTCACCGCCTATAACTTCATGAAATTCTAATAGCAAATTCAAAATTATAATTTGTATTACTGAATTGCAAACAACAAACTACTTATGACTTCATCAAATGCAAACAACAAACAGAAAAAACAAAAAATCAGCATCATCTATTTACAAACATCAAAATGAAAATATGATATACATCATCTAAACGCAAATAACAACAAAAATGAAAAACAAAAGAGTAACAAATATAAAACATAAATAAACTTAACATCAGCAAACCTCAAATTTATACGTGATTTTGATGATCCGAAACCATCATCTTTGTTCACTGCCAGAGAAATAAATTGGTTTTGATGAGAATAAAAATAAATCGAAAAAATCATATGTAGTTCAGGGTGGAAAATTTTATTTATAGGAACGTTGCTTAGCGAGACTCAAATGTGTTAGAACCATTTGGGTGAAATAGAAATTGCAATCCGTAGAAGTTGAACCGCAAACACAAAGGTCTCAAGAATAGCAAACGGTTTCTTCAAATAGCAGACGAAGAACAAGCAAACAGGTCCAAAAACCAAACAAACGAAAATATTTGGCTAGTGTTTGTTGAAGAGTTAAATGCAAAAACCCCCCTGTGTAATTCCTAAAGGCCAAAAAACCCCCTGGGAAAAAATAAGTCATCAAAACCCCCCTAACAAGTGTTCAATCAAGCACAATCGACCCTTTTTTATTTTTGTCCGTTGACCGCTCGCGAAAAGACAAAAAAGCCCTCCAGATAAATATGTCCAACCTCTAGAATTTCATGACTGAAATGAAATTTTCAAATTTTTCAATTCAGTCCCTAAGACATTCAATTTAGCCCTCTTCCCCAATTGAAAAAAAAAATTACTGCAACACAGGATTCGATTTTAATTTCTCAGCTCACAGCTCACATAGACACGCCTCACCCACTCAACTCTCACTCAGCGGCGGCTGCAGCGGGACAGAACGATTTTGAGAGGATTTTGCGGCGGGCTTTGCTATTCGTCGGAGAAGTGGTGGAGCTCGCCGGACCTCGAATTGGCGGCGACTTTGGAGAAGATCTAAACTCGCGACGGAGGCGGCGGCGGTCGCTTGGCAACGTCGGAGAAGAAGATGGCAATGTCGGAAAAGAAGATGGGTGAAGAAGATGGCGTGAGTTTGACGGGAGGAAGAAATTCCAATTTTTTTTCTTCTTTTTTTTTGTTTTGTTATTTTTTAATTTATTTATATATATATATATATATATATATATATATATATATATATATATATATATATATATATATATATATATATATATATATATATATATATATAAATGGAATAAGAAAAACTAAGAGAGATTTAGAGGGGCACTTGTGTCTTTTCACACAAAAAATCGCCACAAGCAGTCGCACTGTTAGCGCGTGAATGACACGAACGAGATAGAGGGGGTTGTTAGTCACTTAATTTTACCCAGGGATTTTTTGGCCTTTAGGAAAATCACAGGGGTTGTTTTTGCATTTAACTCGTTTGTTGAAAGTTCTAACTATGGCGGGATTTGAAAAAAAAAAATCATATCAAAGAAGGGCAAAAGTAGAAGAGTAGTACAACAAGAGCCGCGATAGGCGAGCCCGGTGAATCTTCTGCTTGTTTGAAAAGAGCTCTCTTCTCCCTCGAATCCAACGACTCATATCGCTCACCCTGCCTCACACACTGGCCAATAATTTTTTTTTCAGAAGCATCCATAGTTTGGACGTAAAATTAAGCAAGGTGAAATCAATTCGATATAATAGACGCAAATTAAGCAAGGGAGAATCAATTGCCAATGGATGCACAGTTCCATGGAGGGTTTTTTGCAAAAACCACCCCTGTGTAATCTCGAATTGCTGAAAAATCCCTCGTGTTAAAAATATTAGCACAAAACCCCCTATGAAAAATAGTCAAAGTCAAAAAAGACCCTACGAGCTCGATGTGTTATACACTCGCGCTTTATGCAACTGGGCCTCGTATTTTGGAACGAGAAAGACCTAAATACCCTTTAAATCAATTTTTGAAATTTATAAATTTACCCAATATATTTTTCATAAGCTCAAAATGAAGTTTTCAGAATTTTCAATTCAATCCCCACTGATTTCAGAAAAGCCCTCTCTCCAAATTGCATAGAACTAAATTGCAATTTTCATAATTTCACAAAACTTCATCATCTTCTTCCCCTCTCCAGATCTGCTCCTCACCAAATAAAAAAATAAAATAAATAAATAAATAAAACAAACAAAAACCAGCAATTCATCTTCATAACCTTCCAATTTGCAAAAGAAGAAAAAAGGACCAAAGTTGTTTCCTCCATCTAATCTACGAAATTTTATTAGTATTTCAATTTCTAAACAATTAAAATAAAAAATATAATATTAAAAATAAGAAAAAAATCAGAAAAAGAAACAAAGAATGAAAATTCTGGAAAAACTTGGCCGCTCCATCTCCGACAACACCACCATCGTCTTCCCACTCTGAAATTGAATTCCAAAATACAATAAACCAAAAATTTCAATCTCCCTCTTTAATCAGATCGAGAAAAAGAAAAAAAAAAAAGGGAAAGATTTGAGCTTCTGCAAAACCAAGCAACAACCCAAAAAGAAATTTCACAAAAATCCGTCGAATATCAACGCAGAAGGCAGGTGGTGATGCGGCGGTGGTGCCGCCGTGGTGGTGGTGATGCGGCGGAACTGCAGCCGATGCGGCAGTGGTGCGGACGTGGTTGTGGTGATGCCGCGGTGGTGCGGCTGTGGTGCAGCCGTGGTTGTGGTGATGCGGTGGCGGAGGGCTCGATGGAAGAATTGGGTTGCGGGATAAAGACGATGGCCTGGGTGATAATTTTATTTTTCTTTCTGCATTATATTTATTTATTGGAACATAAATTATTAAAGAATATAAGGGTTAGTTTAGTCATTTCATGTAAGTCAACTGCTAATTTCGATATAAGGGCCAGTGTGCTTTGT